AGAAAGCACTAGGCTCTTCGTTTTAGATGCGTTCACACGCATGCCGGTCACGTCGCACTCGGCTGCGAACTTTTCTAGGCAGCACTGAAGATTAGTTTCAGAAGATGCTAATTAAACAACGTCGTCTGCAAACAGCAACTTTCTCGACTTTACATCTCCTACACCGATACCCTCAATGCCTTGGCAGCTACTGACTATTCAATCCATATACAACACAAACAGGATAGGGGACATAACGCAATCTTGGCGGAGACCAGTGCGAACGTTGAATGATTTCGACTTAACGCCATTGACTCTGACGCAGCACCTGCTATCAAAATACAGTGATTGGATGGCCCTTAGCAACTGGCCATCGCTACTATTAAGTAAGCAGAAACAATACTAAAGCGTTCTGCTGAGCTCTAGACTGCTCAGAAAACAACCTTTCCATGTCTATTGTTCGAGCCATCGCTGAGATGCTGCTATGCATCCATGCATCGCCTATGCTCAAATAAAATATGACTGAACCTTCAACTGGACAAAATGAATGCTTCCACGGGCCTCTAGAAGCAAAGGACGCGACGTTTGCGCATAATTTGGTCTAATCGCATGTATAAGTCATTCTTGTTCCTTCACTATAGCCGTACCGATATCAACCACCTGTAATCGATTTTAAACATAAGTACATAATAGAGAGTGAAACATCGGCCCAGTGAGCTCCTTTTATAGGACGAAGCATCGAACTATTTCGCCCGGTTGATCGTGAATATTTTTTGAAAGCCTCTGAACTATTTCCAGTGACACACGTCGATGGAAAAAACAGTACGAAGCACAATGATTAAGCACTAAGTGCACTGAAGGCTAAACACAGGTTGCTCAGTCGGTAGAGTCAGATTCAGAATCGAAAGGTCTCGGGCTCGATCCCCGGTCAGGTCACCTGCCGCGGCCATTCTTCCTTCAAAGAGTGAAAAATGTGTACCACTCCGAGAGAACAAAACTGGAGAATACATGCACTTGCCACACAGTCGCCATATACTCGGCCTTTAAAAAGTAAAACGTTGCTCACTGATAGCACGGAAATAGAGATTAGCACTCCACAATGAGCTTCATGTAAAGAAGGGCACCATCACAAAAGTGCAGGGAAGACTGGCACTTAAACGATTGCAAGCTTTGCTTCCTGTGTTAAATGCTGGTTTTGATTAAATCTACCTAAAAATTAAATGACTTTTAACTTGAAACAAACAATGTTTCCGACATTTGACTCATTTTAGGAGATCCAAGTCAACCGTCTTCCGACTGAGAAGATATTACCGACCCAGAAGAATGAGGAAAACTGTCAAAAATGAAGAGAGGAACCTGACTTTGGAGGATAAAAACATCGAAAAACAGAAAAGAAATCTGGCAAGAAAACGAAGTCTTCCAGGAAGCGTTTAGAGGAAGCGGTATGAGTTTTCAACTACGACGAAAGAATTCGAAGAAGCAACATGCGAATGATACAAAGTTCTTCACCACAAATCCTAATAATCTCAGGCTTTAGTAAAACCGACAGAAATCAACTGACCATCGGATTCGCAAAACAGCTAAAAACCTAAGTCCGTATGCGGAAGCATGCTAACACCGCGATTGACTCTTTCTGTTACTGGATTTCACAGAAAGTTTCGCGCGCCACTGCACTGTCGTTTTCTCTAGTTGTGTGGTGCAATTTAGGTGTTAGTTAGTGTGTTGCAATTTAGGCAGGCACCATGGCTTGGCGGCACAGAATACCTGCAATGCGAGAGGTAAGTCGCATCACTTTACTGGCTAGAGAAATATTTTGCTCATCGAAATGGCGCTTCAGAAAACGCTACTCCCTTTGTGCTCTTGAAAAATTTTCAATAAAGGTTTCTACGTCTGTCAAAAAAGGGTTTGTCCATATAACGCTTAACTTACCCAATAATCGGATTTCACAGCGTATTGCACCGTTTTTTTTGCACCTCGAAAGGGGCACCGACTTTTGAAAACGGCTGGCAATTACCAACTTCTTGCCAATAAAATAAAACGAGATGCTTAAATACCATGTAGCCGTTACCAGCCTAAGTTCCTCCTCCAAGGGAACTAGGAGTAACGGGGTGGTGCACCACGTCGTCAAATTCGGGCAGTGGATGAGTTATAGGATATAGGAAAAAAACTGTGAACGGTTGGAAAGACAATGTTCTTTACACTTTCACGATTAAGCCAGTTTTTGCGCCCTTATTTTTGTGGTGATAATGGTGGAGCACTGATCTTCATTTTCATAACATTAGCCGGGAGCATCTCACTTTAAAGGCAGCATCGTCGTAACTGCGTGGAAAATACTGTGTGTAGTCTCCGGTTCCCTTCCCACAGAGTGGAACTCACTTATCAATTCCGGAAGGAAGAAACGTGAGTGACCCGACCGAAACTCAAACCCGAGGCTTTCCGGTTCTGAGTGCGACGATCTATCGAATCAGCAACCCTGGTCTGAAGTAATATGTGGGAACTTCCTTACTCAAGGGAATTTTTGGTTGACAGAAAGAATCGAACTCTTCCTGAGGAATCGAACTGAGCACCTCCGGAGACTGAAGCAGACTTCTTAGGCACTGTGCCAACACACAACACAAATAGAAAGATATTTTCTCGCGGACAATAGACTTCGCAAAAAAAATTCTTCAGACTTTCTGAATCAATCCTACAAGGCTAACCCTGTTTTGCAATAAAACATTTCAAGTGTCTGTTCCACACATTCTGGTGGTCAAAAAAGCAGTTTCGGTCCATCCCATCCAGAACCGACCTGCGTCACCCTTTGACGTATCTTTCTTCATCAGAATAACGTGAAATTCGGTCAAACGGGAAAAACACACTGCCAATCAGTTTTAGCGAAAGTACAATTACGCAAATTAAACTTTATTTCTGTTTACATTTAAACCGGGTTAACTGTGAGAAGATGATGATTTCTTGCCATTACCCCGGATTTACACGATGTAGGCGCACTGTTCCGCTGTTTCAAGCGTCTTATGGACCCCGTAAGCACGTCATGGCTCTACGATACAATAGCGTCTGTAGCACATAGGCGCAAAACATCGTCACTGTGTTGAAGAAAAAAACATTCGAACACCAACTAATATAGGTCGCTCAGGTAGGCATATACATTCAAAAAAATTAACCTCAATATTCTGGGTTTAATACCAAGCTGTTGATTTTCAACTCCACCGGCAAGAATAACTATTTCTTGTAACTTCTTCGGATATACACGACACAGTCGCATGAATCCTTGCTTCAGTTGGGTGTTCGAAGATGCTTTCGTTTGACCCAACATAATGATGCTGTTTTGTGGCAAATCATTGTGATTCGTAAAAGTTACTCTGATTATGCCTCTGTGTCGGAAGCCAAAACTTCGAATTGAAATTAAGAAGTTCTATCATGTCTAAAACCATTCTCTAGTAAAAGGTGAATAAGTTGGAATAAGATCAAAAAACAATAACGACACCAAACAATTCGCTACTACCGCAAGGAGACAGCCCAGCGGCCGTAAGCTGCGACAGCCAAGGGTAAAACGATTCGAGATCTCAGATGATCAGCGAACATCGAATTTCGCTTCGCATGTCATTGCGGCAACATACGGCCATCCTGTGTCAAAAGTTCGGAGTCGATCGAGTCCGACAGTCATGTCCATCAGCTGAGAGGGTAAGGCTCGTACCTCAAAAAGGCAACACTTTCATCTTATTTCATCTTAAGTACAATTATTCGATGAGGGTTGGCAGTGGAGCAAAATCTTCTCTGAAAGAAAGGTATTTAAATGCTTCTAAAAAACCTGCAAGACAGGGGATACATTGAAACTCGTCGCTGAAAATCTCATCTCAGACTCAGACGTGCAAAACCAGACGAACACATGCTGGACTTGAGCGAAAAACTGAAAATTAACTTCAAACGTAGTCGATTTTAGCGCGGAAAAAGGCATATTTTGGACTGGATTCATTTTCAGTGGATCATAACAAGTGTTGATTAAAAACAAAGGTTACACACAAAAAAGGGAAAGTTTCAAAATGTCAAAAAGTTTAAACGAAAGTTCGCTAAAAGGTTAACTTCGGCTCGATCACGAAAAACGGTCTGTCAAAGAAGAAATCTAAAGATCTATTAATTTCAAGTCATCCACGAAGCGGAATCGATATGAGTTTAAGAAATTAATAACCCTTTACCTCTTTGCCAATTTCATCATGGCCCTGCGGTGCCACCATGCATATTCTTCAAGACGTAAGGCTCCCGGGGACAAATGCAACGCCTGAAAATAGCTAGCAAATATAGTTTGAGCATACGCGGAAACGGAGTACTGCTACAGCAGCCAGGTTACTCAGGAAAAAACGTCTCACTAATGCGGGTATAAGCTGATTTAAACGCTCTGATCAGCATTACGAGAGATGACGACAGCAAGTTCTTAAGGAAGAAAAAGCGAAGACAGACTTCCGGCAGAACGAGTCCTATGATTCCAAAACGACGCTGATCCACCGCTCAACAAACTTTCGCAACAGATGACGGAAACGATGGAGCTCGCGTTACTCGGGTCCCGACAGAAGAGGACATCTGCTGAACGGAAGAATGGAGGCAGGAAACGAAACAGCCATCACCGTCGTGGTTTCACGAAACAGAGACATATCATACAACAACGACTGGCTTCGAAGAACTCAAACTTACGTGAATAAGCGGTCATCTAAGAATGATGGAGCAGAAAGTTACAAAAATCGATATCGATTACTACTATAGGAATTGCAAAGACGGAAATCAAAGGTCAACACGTCGGGTTCCCGAAAAAATTAAGCCTTACGAAAATATACACTATGAAAATAAGCAGAATATTGAAATCGCAATGGGACGGCAGCAAGAACTATACACACTTCAATTTCACGTTTGTGGTCAGACTTTTAACAGTTAACGTTAAAAGGTCGTCGAAAGTCGATAGAGTGTACATAAGGATCAGCAGGTACACAAATTTTCCTTCCAAGACCCTTTAATATTAAACTAGCAAAAAAATATTGCTAACTCATTCAGTCGCATATTTCACAGTGCAGTGCATAGCCTTCTCCATCTTGTTTGTGTGGTTTTGACTCTAGCTGTAGCGCATGTCTGTAATGTGCTTACTGAGGATATTCATACACGCCGCTGAATGTTACGTAAATGGCGGAGGTAATTACGACAACAGCACCTCACTAATTCCGTATAGCATGAATTGCGAAAAGCCGAGTCGACATGCATCTGTAAGGGCTAAAACAAACAGCAATTAGTGACCAGAGAATTAACAGCACAACTCAAGGTTGCATCCAGTGATCTTGGGTGCAGGTATAAGTGAAAGTTAAATCTGCATACACCCTGCCTATGTTACACGTCGCGAACAAGGAAGGTACTAGCAAGCCATGAAAATGCATAATTTTAGTGTCGCTCTCTAAATAGCAGTAGCTCTGAGGTACTCTTCTTGAACAAATGAGCCACTACAACTCATTCCATCTTGTTCAATCTTGTTTGCTAATCGTTTCAAAGGAAGCTGATACCGCATTTTGGTCTAAAATTCGCTATCGACAGGAAACCTATTTTTAAACGTAGTTAGAAGGAAATTAAACGATGCATTAAAGTTTCCAAGGTAGGGAGGCAAATAGGTTTCAAGGACCTACAACGCGAGAAAATCTAAATTCTAATTTTTCTACCTTCGAACAGTGATTCATACTTTTGGGACGTGCCATAATTTATTACAACGACTGAAAATAATCAGGCATTTTGCAGAATGGTTATTTCAACGTAATTCATATATAGATCAGATATTTTGGGAATTTAAAGCTTCTGATGAGAAATGAAACCTTTAAAGTAAAAAATTGATAACGCAGACCGTTGAACAACAAGGTGTCCCCTTGTCGCAAGGACAGTCGGTCTGAGCAGTAGTTTACTGTGCGGTATCATGTTGAAAGCACAGATGATAGAAGAACTGTGCTATTGGCACACTGTTTTTATTGGCTAACGGCGATCTGATTTGTTAGAAAAGTAACGGTATCGATAAGCTTGAGATTCGACTTGTACACGAAATGTCACGTAATAAATGTCTGAACGATGTTGCCTTCAATGGTCGACAGCTAATGATGCTACGGAAAAGTGCAATTCAGTTATCAAAAAATTGTGCCAAAAGACTCAGGTCGATAAATCTAGACCCATTGCAATGGAATTTGAGCAATGGCAAAAGTGCGTTATGGCAGATCAGATATTTCAACCCAGGTTAAGCAAATGTTTAAACGCTGAATGACATGTTGCCTATTTAAAGTATATCCTTAATGTCGAAGAATATTCTGATTAGAAGCTGCTGAAATATTGGCAAAAGATGGAAGAGAAATCAAAGATCACATCCATTACTCAGATGATCACGGCATATTCGCACTGCCCCAGGTCCAGGATGCCTACGGGACATATTAGCAAGTCACGGTATGGGAACACTTGCAGAACTCGAATGCTAGGTTACACCACCCTGAGGGGCCAAATGAAAATGCCAACGAATTTTGTCATTTCGACTGGTGTATGAATGTGATTTGTTTGGATAAACCCAGTTGGCGTTCGAATGCATGTCTTTTGGCATTCACGCACACAGTGTATGCGAATAATAGAAGACAGTTGCTTGTTGAAACGTCTGTCGGTGTGTAGGAACAGTGGGCGGTGCGAATACACCGTACACTGATTAAGATGGAATATGTCGTTCATGTCAATCGTTGTCCAGAATTAGGATAATTCGCTGACGAGACGAAGAGTTCGTCACTAACAGCGTTGTCTACTCTAACCTGGGGAAGTAGCGATCGAACCGATGTGAATCGGCAACTGATTTAGCTACTGTTCCGCTGTGCTGCAGAGTGATTTAATACTTCAGAGCACACATTTTCTGCTGCTGTCAGTGAAGCAGCAGCAAACATACAGTGATTTCTTGCCTAATCTTTCCAGGCAGTACACTGCAGAGGTCGATCACCGTTTTGGAACGCCGTCTCCTCCAGACGCCAAATATGCTTCTAACTACGAAAAATAATGTAACGCATCAGTACAGACAGATTTAACATGTTGAAAAACGTATCGAAACTCTTGTTGCATCCGTTACCCGTTGAGAGTAGTATTTTTACCCCGTAGCAAATGGTAGTCATTACTAGAAACCATCTACAAATGGATCATTGCTACCACTATTTGTCAAAATTTGCAGACTTCATGACCTTGTAATATTCAGTTCTGGTGGCGGATGACTAAATGACTATTTAAAAATGATTATTGCACCGATTATTTATCAGCACAAGTGGTAAAACTCTGAATGATACAGTAATCCAAAATTGTAAATATGCGGATTGTCAAGTTGCACACAGAATTCAATTCGTTACCCTAAATCGGTTAAGCGTAGCATCGCGCCGAATGCAGTGACAGTTTCAGGGATTGACGGACTGGGATTTGATGACTGTTGAAGTTACCGGCCAAGTAATTAATCTTTCAAAATAGATGACAAGAAAAAGGAGAGCGAATCGATAAAATCACTGACTGAAGCCGCTACTCTGTCTGTAGCGATCTATTTGTAGACAAAAAACATCTGAATGGCATAAGATTCTCTTGCGACAATAATGAATAAGGCAATATATCCAATTTACTTAGAATATATGTCCCACGTTTGGCATGCAAGAGCTGCCAAACGAAACTGACAAAGTCTCATCCGCATGACAAAAAACCATAAAATTAGTGAACTCTAAGAAACGAAAATTTCGTATAGGGCCATGTCTAAGAAATGGGAGCAGTGGCACTGAGTTAGTAGGCTGCATTCTGATTTAGAGTAAAATCGAATTCGAGGCGTATTTAAATTTAATTAAGTAGGTGATATTTTGGTTAAGCAGGATTCAAAAATAAGCAGAATGGGCGAACTGGTAACACCTGATAAAGCTGGTTTTCATCCTAGTTAAGGAAACAACATTAAAGGAAATGATGAATGGATAAAATCTGCGTTTGCAGAGACGAGACAGACAACACTTGTCTGAAATATCTGTAG